CCTTCTCCCTGCTCCCCCTCCTCCACCACCTTCTCCCTTCTCCCCCTCCTCCTTCTCCACCAGCTTCTCCCCTCCTTCTCCACCGCGATCACATCTGATTGGTTATACAGATGCATGTGATCATGCATTTTCATGTGATCATGCATGGTCATGCCTACCTATATCTACATGCCTACCTAACTACCTGCCTAAACGTATACACGCACACATGCACGCACGCACGCACGCGATCACACAAATGCCTGCGAATGTAATATAAGTAAACGGCTTCTGCATTAATATTCATAAAAAAGTCCTTCTTGATTGTGCTTTGGATTTTGATTCTTTCACTGAATTATTCAATGTTGCGATGGGATATGTACCTGTTATCGCTTGCTGACTTGACAACAGCTATATCATGATCAATTATATATATAGGCCTTTATATAATATAAACATGGTGGTGTACTGTTTCTATTGACTAGCTGGTCCTTTTGCTTACATTGAAATTGCGATTGCTTGCCTATCAGGCTCGAGTCGCCGTGAGCGTTAGACATGCTTCTTAACGCTCCACTCTCACGCGTGTACGTGATACTGCTCTTACTTGGGCTGAGCGATGCTTATGCGACTGTGACACGGTTCACGCTGCTGTACAAGAACGCTGTATCGCAGACGGCTGCGGTGGTCGGCAGCAGCAGTGTGAGGGCCGTCACGCAGTGCGCGAGGCGGTGCGACAACAACTACGACTGCGGCAGCTTCAACGTCGACGACTCGCCGCAGCCAGATGGACAGCGAACCTGCGAGCTCCGTGAGAGAACGCCTTACTCACGCTCAACCGCAGCAGAAGGAGTTGCCGAATACAAAAAGGGTATAGCCGCGTCCACCACGACCGCACGCACGCACGCAAACGCACACGCGCACACACGCACGCAGCCAATGGTAAACATACACGCGCACGCACGCAAACATAAGCGCACGCACGCACGTACGTACGCACGCACACACGCACGCAATCATAGAGAGAAGGTTACTCAGTGTCATACCGAAGAATATATATATATATATATATATTCTTCGGTATGACACTGAGTAACCTTCTCTCTATGATTGCGTGCGTATTAACTCCGTATATATATATCAGGAGTTAATGCAGACAAACTTGTTTTCAAGTTGTTTTCAAGTTGTCAACAAGAAAATTTGTCTTCATTAACTCCTGATATAATTATATATATAATATATAATAGAGAGCGAGAGAGAGAAAGAAAGA